GCTCTCATGTCCATGACATTTCTAATGGAAGACCAGTTGATTCCAACCCCACTCAAATATGACTTGGCAACAACATCTTTCCAGTGCTTGTAGTCTGCAACAAAATCTTCCGGAGCTGCTTTACCATAAACACCAACCTGAGAATTTAACCAGTAAGGAGCTTTCTCCAACCGTTTTGGCCATTGCTTGGGCCAACGAGATCCACGTTCTGATGAATCTACTGGCACTCTATGCATACATGCCTGCAGAGGTACATTCCTAAAGACATGCACCAGAGACATTTGCATGGTCAATCACATTGCAAATATTCATTAACAAATTTGGAGTCTCTATCTGACAGTATTTTGGTATGATATGTGTTTTAAGAAGGGTAGTTTTACCACATTCACAAATAAAAAATGCAATCTCTACTATGAATTGGTTACCCAAAATGATATTGGAGGACAATACTTCAACTAGTAAAACAGAGTCTTAACATGCAGACAATAATGTGCATGTGAATTGGCTCTCCACAATTGCACTCATGTTTCATGTATCCTACTGGGAAAAAACAATTGACTACTCTTAACTGAGTATTATCAACCAGTGTATAAAAATATAAATTGCTTGGGACGTATGAAGACAATTTGACACATCTTGAATAGAGGAAACAAATCACCCAAATGTGGTAAAATTATATCAGTCATCTGACAATATCCAACTCCAGCACCCAGAATAACGAAAAGAAGTAAATGGAGAGAAATAAGTTTTGTGATGTCTAAGGAAATGACTGAGTTTCAAAAAGTAAACTCTCTTCTCAGAATTACTCACAATTAATACCCAGAAAAGTGGAAATTGAAAATTTGAAATGCAGCATCAATTTTAAAATTTTGGGTGGGAAGCTGCTTGACTTTTTAGTCTTTTACCATGACAAGGCAATATAAGCAGCAAAATTTATCTCACAAGATTCAACATCTTAACAGCTGGTTTGCAATTGATTATGAGCTTTATTTCACATTTTATTGTTTGCACTTCTCATCATGTAATCTATACAAGAACTACAGACATTGTGGCAAAGATTAATGTTAACTAAGTAACATACCAGGCAGCATTAGGATCATCAGATTCTTCACAAAGTGGAGGATCATTCCGATTCCGTTTATCATAACACTCATTGGAAATTGGCTTTCGGTATATCGCAGCACCAACACCATTCAATCTGTCCTTTTTAATAGTCACCAAATCCCAGCACATTTTCTTAGTAAGCCTGGACATCTCTGCCATCCATGACCACAATGACCAAAAAGAAGAGGATGTTAAATAAATTAACAGGTCCTTATCTCCTGAAAAACACCTTCATATTTTACAAACAAAACTTACCTTTCCAAATGCCAACATCTTCTGGAAGCTTCTGGTAAACTGGAGTAGCAGACCAAACAAAGTAACCACCAGGTCGCAAGACACGATTGAGCTCTAAGAGAAGTTTGCCACCTGGATTTCTCAAAACGCATCTCCAAATGAGAAAGTACCAAAGGTATATAAAAAAATGTAGAAAATATTAATGCCTCTCCACCTTCAATATGCCAAGGAACTCTGCAGCGTGCACAATGAATAAGATCAAAGATTGAACTGGGGAGAGGTAGCCTCTTGGTGCCCATAACAGATAATATTGCTGGGATTCCCCGTTCAAGTGCAAACTGTACTTGAGCTTCATGTTCATCTTTAGGAGCAAATGACATTGTAAGAACATCTCTTTCAAAAAGATAACCTCCAAAACTAGCCACCCCACACCCGACATCCAGTATCACATGGCTTCTTTTTCCCCATGCAATTTCACGAACGGACTGCATTGTTGATGCAAGTGTGTTATGATTATAATGGTCAGCAAAGAAGAGAACTTGACTAAACCATTCACAGCCTTAGAAAATGGACACAGAGCAGTCAGATGACCAAGCCAGAATAGAAGAACAAATAACAGAGTGAATACACAAGCAGTAAAGGTTGCCGGTAAAGTTTCCAAGAAAATGTAAATGCACTAACCATGTCAATGTTATAAATATCTTCAAATATCTTGTATCAACATGGAACGAGTGAGAATGGAAATATTCTGAGACAGTGCACCATTAAGTTTTATGCTTCATTAGGTGAATTGGGGTATCAAAGAATGGGATGTCCTGGTCGATTAAAACTATGCATAAACATTGCGCAATGCTTACTAGTTAAAATTGTCTATGACAATGCATAGATGGGGATTGAAGAAGAAGAAGAAGAAGAAGAAGAAGAAGAAGAAGAGGACCTGGATACTGCATAAGCAGAAAAAATAAACTAATGCATCAGTTGACATGAGATAACACAGATTCAATATAACATGTACTAGAATGCTCATATAATATATTTTATAATCTATAAGCAGTATTTCACATAAATAAATAAGTAATCAACAAGCACATCCATTTCATCTAAATAGCATAGAGTACTTGGAATAGATGACAATGCCCTGTTTTCTTTCAAATTAGAATCCAAAGAAGTTGCTTGTGAAATGAAGGAAATTTGCCAGTGTACATATAAAATAAAGCTGGAAAATGTATGGAAGTACATTGCAGTGGCAAGAGAATTTTCAAAAGTACTTACACTTTGAATGAAATCAATGTAATGAAGAGCACCATTCTTGAACTGAGTTCCACCACCAGGAAAAGTCAGGTATTCACCAGAAACTTTCACCCAATTTTGATGCCCCTTAACTACTGCAAGCCTGGTGTGGGGAACATTATTGTACCATATCTGCAGAATGCATGGAAAGAACAAATTTAAAATAGAGTCAACAAAGGTATATACTACATGAACCCCATGTGGTTGGTCATTCATGCTGCAATAAATGTTTACCTTATCCCTGCTTTTAGGCCACTTTATGGATTGCCTATATCCTTCAGGTAGGGGAACAAGACAGGTCGGAGCTTCATCAGGGCAGTGCCTCTCTCTATGTTCATAGTGAGCTGTACTTCGAAGTTTCCGAACAGCTTGCCAATTGTCAAGGCAAGGGATGTAGTCTGGCCCAGCTGTGGTCTTACAGACTTTCCAATTATATTCCTTTTGGCCCTTGGATACCGAAGATTGTTGTGAATTCTCCTTCTCAGATTCTGCTGCTTGACTTGACCAAGCTCCATTTTGAGTGGTAGACTCACTCAAATTCTCAGACTGGCCATCATTAGGGGAAACCTTATTTGAAGCCTGATCATTATCCTGGCTTCCTGTGTTACTTTCACCATCATTTTGGTCCTTAAAGTTCTTCTCATCCTCAGCAGACTCAGATCTGTTTTCACCTGAGCTCTCACCTGAATCTGTCTGCCTACTTTTATTCATTTCTCCACCTTCTGAGTTTGAATCACCATCTTCCCTATTTCCATCGTTTTCCCCTTCTGCCTTCTGCTCCTCCTTGGACTCAGATCTCTCGTCAGTACTCTCTTTCAAATGACTGTCTTCCTGATTTTCATTGTGTGAATTCTCAGACTCTCTGTTCTCATCAGTGCCCTTTGTCTCTAATTTCTCTTCATTGTTGTCCTCATCTGTATTATTTTCAGAATACTTGCTCTGCTCATCGTTGCCGTTATCTTTTTTCCCATCCTGAGTTAGACCATCTGAGTTGTCTTCAAAGTGCTTCGAAAAGCTTTCCTGTAGATTTTGTTTTACACCATCTTTAGCTTCCTGAGAGGATAAATATGAATTCCGAAATGGATTAACTGATGAAGATATCAACATCCAACCCCCAACTAGAAAAAAAGCAACAAGCCCAACTATAGTGACAGCTGAGCAGTAGCTTGATGACTTCCTCCCATCAAGTTTGGAATACTTCCCCTTGGCCATGGTCTCAAATATATGTAGTTTTACTTACATATACCGGCTAAGTCAGCAACAACCTGAACAAAACACTTTCCACTATAATTCAGCAGATCCTCTAAAACACCACGATGTACCGTCTTCCCTATAATCATATAAAAGAAAGCAAGGACTAATAATTATAGATCTACACAGCTAAAGTTAGGGAAGACACTCAAAGAAGCATCAATATCCAATAAGTACAGAAAAGACAATGAAAAGAAAGTAAATCTAAAATCCTAAGTTAAATCAAGCATTGGATCAGACATATAACTGCAAAAGAGATGATTCCCAGGTAAACCCAGCTGCCAAATCACGACTTTAACAGAGATTATTCCCAAACAGAACAATGTATATGTAATTTATAGAGAAAGAAAAGGACAAAAGTGAAAAAGTCATCAACTTTTTCTCCACTGTAGAGAGAGAAATCGAGACCCAGATTCATAAGAACCAAAAGTTCAAAACTTTCAAACACTTCAACTGCCCTGACATAGAACTTGGAACTTGATAAGTTTTGATCAGCACCAGAAAAACAGCATCCTTGGAAACACTAATTACATCTAAAGAATAAAGCCCCCTCCCCCGTCAAAAGTCATTCCAAGAACTCATTCCAATCCCAAAAAAATAAAAAATAAAAAATAAAAAAATCAATCAATAACCATGAAAAATCACATACCCCACAATACCTTTGCACATAAATACATCCATTGACCATTGTAGCAGAAGAAAAGAAAGATTAGAAGATGTTTCTGAAAGAACAGTAAATGAGTGAGAATTGGAGTAGGATTTGGAAGTTTACCCTTATCCCTTGGTGGGGTTTGGCTACGGATCTTGATTTACAAGGAATTCAAGGGTCTTTCTTTGCTGGTTGTTCCACGAAAGAGACACAGAAAGGAAATGAATGTGTTCCTAGTCAATCTATGAGCCACTAAATTCAACTAAAGAGTAACGACTCTCTGAAAAAAAAAAAAGAATTTGGACTAATTGCACTGCACCACTTGCCGCCAAGCCTCAACCAACCCAAACGCAAAAGCCACCTAAGCCCAAATGAAACCCGCTCTACTGCATGGCATGTGAGGTGACTTAAAGAAATAACAGTAAGTCTATGATGACTATATTTTAAGTCTCTAATTGATTTAGATTGTAAACAATACTATAAGTTTCAGCTGTCAAATAAGGATAATTTATCAATTGCATTATCCCTTATCAGATTTACAATATCATAACAGGGTGAAAAACTAATTATCATGATAAATTCTTTTGTCTCTTTTAATTTCGAGTGTAACTATAAATATAAGATTTTTACTTTAAAAGAATCAAAACCTGAAAAAGAAATACAACATCAAGATCTAAACTAGTATAAGAAAAAATATAAATAAAGGATTTAGATTACCTTAACATGGCGGCGTTAGTGGGAAAAATGGAAAAGCAAGATTTGTGCTGATACATATGCACTTGCACCGACGCTTTTTAAAAAATTATAAATTAACCCTCAGGCTTTTTCAAAAAGTAACTTTTAGCCCCTAAACAAAAACAAACTTGCCATAAGGCCTAAGCAAAGAGAGAATGAAATGGGCTTTGGCCCGAAATAATAGTTGAAATGAAACCCGATCCAATTGGAATTAGAATTTTGGGAGTGGAGAAATTGGCCCAACAAACGCCACGTCAGCACGTCACATTATCCAAAAGTTATCAAAACTGCATGAAATGGCAATGACGTGGCACTCCACCACCAATCACATTTCTTCAAATAACTTTTTTTAAGACTAAAGAATTATGTGAAGGCAAGTTCTCTGCTTGGATTTTGCTTTCAATGGTGGGGTCTGTGGATCACAGTCCACAATGATGAGCCAAGAAACCTATTGAACCACAATTCTCCACATACCCATTTCCCCTTCCCTCTTCTTTCTCTCTCCTTAGGCTCATAATGAGGAAGACAATGGTGGGTTATGAACAATGAAGAAGAAGAGGAAGAGTATTTTGTGCTTGTTCCATGGCTTGCCATTGTGGTTCCTATGCCTTCTCTCCCTTTCCACTCAGAAACTTTTGTTCCAACAACAGAGGTTTCAAGTTTTCAACAAGATTTAGACCAGTTCAAGTTTCTTTAATAAGAAGAGACCCATATAGCAATACCCTTGTTTCTGAGGTGATTTTCTGCCCCTCCCTTTTTTTTTCTTGTTTTTCGGTTGTTGGCTTTTTCTTTTTTTTATATTTGTAGGGTACATGATAGTATACAATTGCAATAGTATAGAATCTCGACTGAAGCACAGTACAAAGCTAGGAGAAAACCACTAGACCTAAGGCCTCAGTCTCTCTAGATCCTTAACCACTGGACCTGAGGCCTTATTGGCAATGTCATGTCATTTATCCATTTAATTTTCAGGCATTTTAATGCTTGCCAGTGGGTTTTACAGATTATGGTTTTTTGTTTCTGAGATAGATTGAGGCAATGGTAATTGAAAGAACATTAAATGGCATGTTCTGCCCATGCTTGGGTTACAAATTGTCCATTGTTGAATAACAGGGAATGTTCAAGCATCCTGTTTGAAATTATACTTGATTTTACTGCAACAATTATCAGTGCTAGATTGAATTGTATACTGATGCCTTGTTATTGCTAGGCTGCTAGGCTTTTGGGTCCTCCAGCAAGTTTTGAGGCTTCAAAGCTGGAAGTTATATTCAAGGGAGAGGGGATAAAAAGCTATTCGAGAGTAGTCCCTAGAACCTACATCCTTTCCCATTGTGATTTTACAGCTAATTTAACCTTGACCATCTCCAGTGTCATCAACCTTGAGCAGGTATGTATTATTACAGTTTACTCTTCTAACGTTTGAACTTTGTGCCAAATTGTTATATGCAGATTGTCACATGTTAAAAAATTTACCTTGGCAATTACATTTTATGAATACCTTGATGTGGTTGAAAGAATCATGGTATGAGATCCTTAGATTTAATTAGAGTGTTCACATATTATTTGTTCATGGCAGTTGAAAGGGTGGTATAGCAAGGATGATGTGGTTGCCGAGTGGAAAAGGGTGAAGGAGGATATGTTTCTTGTTGTACATTGCTATGTGAGTGGCCCTAATCTTCTGCCAGACCTTGCTGCTGAGTTTAGATACCACATATTCTCCAAGGAATTACCTTTGGTAAGTTTTTCTTCCACAATGCTACATTAAACAGAATTGAGAATAATAAGACTCTGGATTTGACGTGTTTGGCATGGAGCATGGTGCCATGGTCACTTTTGGGATGCAGAATGGATCTTCTCCACCATTTAGCTATTGAACAAGAAAAAAAAAAAGGGAAAATCTGTTACTCTACTCTCATGATGCCATATTCGGTTGCAACAATGGTGTTGGCTGAGTGACTAATACTTATCAAATTTGGTGCTGATGCAAGCCAGGTACTTAAAGCTGTGCTCCATGGAGATTCTGTCCTTTTCAAAGAGCATCCTGAGCTCATGGATGCTTTAGTTTGGGTTTACTTCCATTCTAACTCATTAAAGTACAATCGCATGGAATGTTGGGGGCCACTCAAGGATGCTAAAGAGGTAATTTCAAACACCATTTTTGTCCTGATTCTGCTTTGTGCCTTTATTTTTCCAGAGAAAGTTAGTAACCTTAACATTCCCCATACCTTCTCTCTAATGCATTTTTGGTTTGAGTATCTAGCCATGATTGAAGACTGCTTTTCATTTTTTGTAGAAGTATGATATCATAAAGTTTTTCTGAGTGCAATTGTGTAGGATAAGGATTGAATTGGTAGGCTTATACTTTTTCTGGTTGATCATCAGGGAAGATTCAGTGATCAAGCTCAAGGTTTCTTGACAGCAGATAAGGAGAGTTCCCATCCTCCTGACAAGTGGCATTGGCCAAAATCAATCCTCCATGCTCTGTTTACCTTCCTTCTTTGAATTGCATCAACAGAAAAGGCAACCTTCATTACTGCAACAATAACTGGTTGACAAAAACACTTAAAGCTCGATCTTGATACTCAGAAGCTGGAGCCTCTGGTTGCCTAGACAAGGGTTGTATTCAGTTCTTTTTGCATATTAGTGCATTAGTTGAATTGAAAACAAAGATTCATGATTCTTCTGCAACTGAGAACATTTGTTCATTTGTTAACCAATGGCTGTTGTCTTCATTGCTTTGTAAATCATCAATAACATTCAAGCATCTTTTTAAGTTTCTCACATGTAAACTGGAAATGTCAAGCATTTATATATTGATAGACAAAAGTCACACAGGTAGAAGATTATTACCACACCGTCAATAATTAATGCCATATCTTTTTAACTTAACCAACTATTATAGTCTTGCACTACACTTTTTATCACAACTCTGTAGTTTTTCATTTTTAAAATGAATTAAAAAGTATGATAATTAATTAAAAAGAAAAATATATAGTATTAGTAATCAAGTATATGATAATAAATCCATCCAAGTTGCAAGATATAAATAATGATAACTTAGTAATTTTTATGGCAAAGAAAATCTAGAGATGCAATTGCTTTAATTTGTCATTGAGTTTGGAACGGAAGTAGAAGTTGTATAAACATTTCTCTTCATGATATAGTCACCAAATCAAATGTTGCACTGGCAGGCACCGTGTATGAAAGTCACTGTTACAGCCAGCCTAGCATCTTTTGAGATATATTTTTCTACAAAGAAGAAACTTCTGAACATTGATGAAGCTGACCGAATATAGGAAGAATTAGAAGAAGTTGTCAAGGGAAAAATGTGTGCCTTTTGGTTCAAGAAATTGAAACTTGCTAGCCAAGACATCTCCTATCACCTTCGCTGCAGTTAACATGAAATGGGAAGCACTTAGGAAAATGTTTTTAAGTTGTTAAAAGTTTAAGTTTTTAAGTTGAAGATTTCAAATTTAAATATTGAGACGAGTGTGAAGCGATTAAGAGAAAGATAATATTATCTTCTATTATATAATCCATCATATAACGTGGTTAAAAAAAATGAAATTGGAAAAAATAATGCATTAACATACCTAAGGAAATTATTAGAAGCTTCCTTCCTCTTGGGAACTGCCGAAGTATTATTATATTATACACGGAAGGTACTACAAAACTGCAAAGTGGCACGAAGGTTCATATACTTTACTTCCTTGGCTTCCTCCACAATTCAGACATGACACTATACATCCTTGGCTTCCCCCACAATTCACAGACGACACTATATATATGACCTGGAACTTGCGACTAATTCCTCATTCCTCTCAAGTCTCAAGTTAATGAATAAGAAAATGGCTGAAGGTCAAGGGAAACTAGCAGTGAGGATTGAAGAAAAGCGCCGAGTCCCTACAACCAGAGCCAGAGGACGCGTCAAGAGAAGGATGCTTGTCTTCGTGTACCGAAAACTGAAGCTGGGGAGCCTGCATGCCATTCATTACCTTCTTAGCAACTCCTCTTACAACAGTTAGCCATCTTCTGATTTCCAGTTGCTTATGTATATATCCAAACGCGTGCTCAATAAGATTCTGATTATGTTTCTCTCTTTTCTCAAATGACTTCTTAATTATACATATGTTTATGTTAGTAGATGGGCAATAATATTTTCTATTTCTTCTCCCCTGTTTAATCAAGTAGTAAAGTACTCCAAAACTAAGGAAAAAGTGTTCTGGAGTACAAGTTATACTGAACTACACAACACTAACCATTGGATGAGTCTCAGACCTCTAAATATTGAAGGCTCCTCTTATACAATGGTTCTTGTTTTACAATCTAAATATAGTCGGAACCATAAAACAGGATTCCCAAACTAATACATGATAATTGAGAACTGCAAAAAATTAAATAAACTGGGGAAAAAGTAGAATTTTCCATGAAAAAGAGAACTTAAAAAATCAATGGAGAATATGATACACCCATTTATAAATAAGTCTACACTGCAGATATATGTCCAATGCGCAATTCATCTCAAAATTAATAATCCAAGAGCGAAACATATAGACATCATAAAACCACTGAATCCATGTTTATATAACAACAGAGAATCTCATGATCTGATGGGAAAACTGAAAATCTAGAACTGCTCACAAGCTATAGTTCTCCAAACCCAAATCCAAACTGACGTCTCATGACAGTCAAAATGATCTATTGGGTTTAGACGTTGAAGATGACTTAGATTTTGCAAAATCAACCAGGTCTTTGAAGAGAGCATCTTCTGGTTTTGCTTGTTTGGGAGGGGTGCTTGGATTAAGGGAGAGATTTTGTGTCTGCCCCACTAAGCTGTCATAGGAGGATCCTGATCCACTGCTAGAATGAGTAGCGCCAGCAGAATAACCTGTTTGTTCAAAGAATTGCTGTCTCTGGTTATACCTTGAAGGAGGTGGGGGAAGATTTCCTGTAGAAGGATTTTCCCAGGGAGCTGGAGGCATCTGCTCAGCAGATCTGCTTAAGGGGGATGGCTCATCATACAGAGGCTGTCCAGAGAACACAGGTGAGGAGCCAGAGCCAACAGAATGGGAAGGAGGTGAGGGAGATAAAGATGGATTTAATGGAGGGGAAGAGTTTGTATATGAATGAGTTGGCACAAAAGACTTAGATTCTCTTGGTTCAGAGAGATCATTGGATGTGTAGGCATCACCACTAAGATAATCAACCATTCCTGCACCTGTAGTGACTGGCTTTTTTGAGGAGGGTGGGGGAGGAAGAAATGGACTGACTCGTGCAGGTTCAGTGTTAGCTGGTTTCCTACCTGGTCCTTGTAAATTATCTCTTGATGACCTGTAATATATGTTCATAGAAACTTAATTAGATTAAAAGCAAAAAAAAAAAATCAAAAAAGGAAAAGAAAAGGCAACAGTTAGTTAAAGATTTAACTCTTAAAAGAGAAAACCAGCATTTTTTTGGGTAATTGAGGAAGTTAGTGCGCTTAGCTATTGCTGAGATTTCAACTCCTAACGTTGACCACAAATTAAGGTTTTGCAGTCAATGGATGCCAACTTGGAAAAGCTCTTATTGGTAACTGCAAATGTTACTCCTTAAAACAAAGTTTTTATATCTCCTTTTTCATATTCTAAGGTGTTTGGCACAATGAAATATCTATAGTCCAGCGTAACGAATATCAGAAGGGCTAAGGAATGTTGGTGGAAACCAGGCAAAATGGTAGTCAGTAGTCACCTGCGAGACAGTTGAGAAAATTCATCTTCTGATTCATCATCCTCATGATTAACATTAACAAGGGGTACAACAGGAGTGGCCGCAACTCCTGTGGTCGGAGTGTTTCCTTGCATAATGTCATCATGTCTGGTAAGAACACGCTGCAAATTATCATGTAATGCTAATCCCTGAAATAAAAGCTGCTCATCTCTGAAAAAGAAAACACAATTGTCAGAATTATTCCTATGATCCCATCTAACAAAGTAATAATAGAAAATCATAAGAAGAAATGCGACAATTTCTTACGCAGTACTATTCACAAGAAGCATGACACGCTTTTGGTATGAACGACATTGGTCAACAAGATCAACAATCACTTCTTGCTTTACAGCCTGCCACAGAATAGAGGACTAATGAGATAACATGAAAAAGGAATCATTTAGCATGCAATAGATTCAACGTATTAAAGCTTACAATAAAACTAGTTCCCAAGGATATGGTAGTAATAAAAAGGAAAAGCACTGCATTTCACACCCGGGTAAGTAATATATAACTTATATATTAATCAGAAAGCAGATAATTGTGGACATAACAGCATTTGAGACACAGCAAGCTGATAATTGCATAAAAGAGAACAAACTGGAATATTACCTCAGGATTTTTGGGATCCAAAGCACCAAGCATTTCCATTAACACATCTGCTAATCCCTGAGCATTTTCGATCTCTGACAAGCTGAAAATAGAAAAAGTTTGATTTCAACAGAAGCTGAGATAGAGGAAGATATAGGGCAGTGCAGATAGATAGTTTATGGCACAGCAGCATGAATACCAGGGCACAAAGATGGAACTAATGCATCTATTAACAACCATTACAAATAATTCATTTACATTTCAAAAATTGTGACAGAAACAAGAATGCACACTAAAAATTTTCAGCAATAGGCTGACTTCTTGATCTTCTACCAGTAAAATGTCCCTAATTTTAAGTCTGATACATACACATGATAAATAATGAAACTGGGAGAGGAGTTGATTTTAAAACATCAGTACCTGAGACCAGATGCATCAGACTGTAGAGAGGCCTGAATAGCAGCATCCTCATAAGGCAGAGTGGACTGAGCTACGGGATGGGTCTGGGGTGGTGTGAAGAATGGTACTGCATTCTCTTCTCGGGGTGGAAATTCTACCCCAGCGGACTGAAGAAACATTTAGAAGTAAATTTCAAGAATTAGACATTTATAGAACATTTGACCTTCCAAACACTAGAAGCACCTAGAAAAAATTCACAAAGCTTCGAACAACTAAAAGACAGGACGAAGGAGAATGTAGCATAGTATTGAGGATGCCATATACAAAAAGTCGCAACTTCAAAGGGCTACTGTGCTTTTGTGCGTATGTGAAATATTAACAGGCCATATAAGATATTTTAGAAAATAGTTAACATTGAAAGATAAACACAGATCCAAATGGCAAACACAGATGCTATGAAAAATAAATAAATAAATAAGGAAAAAGAAAGGGACCAAAAAGAATTTACTAGCAGTTCATTATATGCAGCATGGTATTGAGGAAACCTCCCCCTCGGTCCCCCAAAAGCTTCTTGCCATGTATCTATCAAAATAAGTATCTTTTCCCTCACGTTCAAGTCAGGCTGCAGAATTAAATATCAACGATTAAGCATACATGAAGTTAGTAAGAAAAAGAACAAGACAGTTGACAGGCAAGCAGGTTAGATAAAGATCGGGTACCTTCTTCTTTACAATTTTAACCATTTCATGTAAGATATCACGCTCTGCAATCTGCTTGAAAACATTTTCACCACAATTCTTGCTGAGAGCTTCCAATACCTGGACATATCCCAGTATAAGAAAAACATATTTATAAGTAGCTAATTCTATGTTATCATAGACTTAACCGAACAACTACAGTAAGTAAATAATGCCAAGAGGCACCACTTGAGTGACTTGAGACCATATAATCAATAAGTAATTACATAAAAAAAACCCAGCCATACATATTGTTAGCACATAATAATTATGAACTGCAAATAGGGAATACAACACCTAAATAAGTATGTATTTTACATTTCAAGGAATAAGGATAGAAGGAATAAGGATAGAAGAACATATGTACTCACAAAAAGAGTGAGGAGTTGTATTTTTGGATTTTTACTGCCCAGGCGCTTCTTGAGTACTTTCAAGGCATCCTTGGCTTGCCTGTAAGACACAAATACGCAATGATTAACTTAAACAAATTCTCTGTACCCCCCAACAAAAGGTACATTATCCCTATGAATATATATACATTAACTAAACAAAAACATATTACGGCTATGTTTGGTACAGCTGGTGGAAAGTCCTTTTGGACTCCAAAAGGTCCAGCTGCACCAAGCACTACAATTTGTGAAAAAATGCTACAACTTCTCACAAGTTAGTATTTTGTCTATTTCATTGTAAATCTCAGAAGCAACGAATTGGTGCTTCTGCAGGAGCTTCTCATTTGGGTTTTAATGAAATTAACACATTATTCTTATTTTATCCTTATTTTTCTTTCTATTTACAAAAACAGCACTTCTACAACAGCTTCTTTCCAACAGAACTTCCATTAAAAGCTCCAGCCACACCAAACGGGCACTACAGTTAGTTATAAATGTGACCTAAACCAGATTCAAGACTCATTAGGCCTGCCCTTTAGCTTACAAGGATCACAAAATCATAGACAACTTAATCAGCTATATTACACAACCATTACAAGCACTAAAGAGTTGAAATTTAATTTCATGAATCACTTAACTCTACAATAAGATAACAAAATGGACCAGAAAAGCCAAAACTTTAGGCAAAAGAATGATACCCAGGATCCATGTTGAGAATATCACACAATTCCAGGTTTACAGCCCAGTCTGGACCAATCAGCATATCACTCGTTGCCCTCTCAGCACATGCTGCTGCATTATTAGCCATGACTATCTGCCCTCAAGTCCCTGGTTATTTTTTAAGCACAACATATTCAAAGGGCAATCATAAAACCAGTCGAGAAAATTAATTTGTATTGCAATTCACAATTTTGATAAAATTAAATGAAGATCGGATCATCACCAATTTAGCTATTCTACATAAACCCATTACATAGAATGGAAATATATCAACCCCATATAACAATGGAAGATATACAAATATATAGACCAAAATCACTCAACAAGAAAAGAGTAATTCAACGCAAGCACCGGGAAAATCAGGCCAATTCCAATCTCCTGCCAGTGAAACCATAACTAAAACAAAAAGTCAAAAGGAAAAAAAAAAAAAAACCCCAAATTTAAACCAAACCCAGAAGACAGAAGGCATAAGCAATCATCTAATTGGTATAAAGCATCAATCTTTGGCTAAAGTGGATCAAACTCATGAAACCCAACTCATCAAAATTTTAAAAATATAATAATATGATGAAATCGAAATTAGGTGAAACAACAATCTGGAATTTAGGATCTCACCTATGGAAAAACCCAGAAATCAGAGAGAATCAAGAGAAGAGGGATTAAAAGGATAAGGATTTATTGCGTACTGTGAATATGAAAAACGAGCTCAGAGAAACAGGGATGAAGACTAATTTCTTTCGCCTCTGATTTGGTCGGCTTTTCTTATTTAAAATTTGCGTCAGCCGTTCATCAAAATCAAGTCAGACTTTTTTTCCCCCAAAAAAAAAGAAAAGGTTTAAAGCCAACTGTCGTCCCTCTACTTTAATATTTTATTCGTTCTTGTCCCTCTACTAAGGTCATGTTCGTTGTCGTCCCTCTACTCTCCAA